AGAGAGAGAGAGAGAGAGAGAGAGAGAGAGAGAGAGAGAGAGAGAGAGAGAGAGAGAGAGAGAACAGGTAAGTTTCCAATCTCACGGCTAGCCTGATGGTACTTCCACCGAGAGGAGGAGCAAAATCGATCGAATCTCCCGCTACAACAGGGAAATATACACCGCCACTTGCGCCCGCCCGCTGTCGCGCCTTCGCCCCCACTCGCCCGCGGACTTGTCATTTGTCTGTGTGTGTGTGTGTGTGTGTGTGTGTGTGTGTGCGTGTGCAGTGCCGTACCCGCGTTCACCGTTCACGGGGTCTGTGGACAGAGACCGGTCATGGAGTTCACGGAGTGCACGACACGGGAGTTAATGGAGTTCACGGAGAGAGGTATTTTTTTTTTTTTTTTTTTTTTTTGGCTGGGAGGGTATATTTTTGTTTTATAGGAGGGTGGGGGACATCGGAGGGTAACTACCTATAATTTTTTCAAAAGACAATTTTCACGAAAAATATATTTGCTTCCGCTTTCTAGGGGCAGGTTTGGAGTTGGCTTCTCTTGAACCACTGGACAGATTTTTGCGCCCGCGATCACTCCCGAGCTGCCACGATAGGAACTGTTTCCACACGCTCCCACCAGCTCCGTCGTGACCTGCTCATATGGAAAGAAGTGGGATCCCCTGAAACTCATATTTTTACTTGGTAGGAGTAGTGTGGTAACTGACCCTAAGCATGGCCCCCGCAAAAGGATGACACGTATAAATAGAGAAATGGTCCAATTTTTTGGGGAAGAATGTGAGGTCCCCTGCCTCGAATATGAATGTTTGAACATATGAGACCTGTTTTGTGAAAACAAAACAAGAAAAAAGACAACCCAGGGGCCAGGGCATACTCAGATGGGCACCTAATGAAGTTAAATCCCAATTTTTTTGGTCACATTGAAGAGGTCCGTTACTCAAATGCCTCACATGGTGACCCTTCTGTCAGCGGCCTGCGGGACCGCAGGAGGACCCTTCTTGAGACCACCTACAGAGGTGGTACTGCCAAAAATAGTCTACGAAGAAAACAGCCTGCCAAACAAAACACAAAAAAGATGGCAATGTATCTATCCATGTTCTAGCGCTGGATTCAGTCTCATTTTGCACATTTGGTGAGTAGTGCAGTGAGGCCCATGTACGTTGTGAGCCAAAAAAAAAAATCCATCTACTTTCTTTCAGTATTTTATTGTACAAAAAAAAACAAATTCAAATCCGTCTACTTTCTTTCCATATTATGGCGTACAAAAAAAAATAAAAAAATTCCATCTACTCTTTTGGTCTTACCATTGTGTATACGCACACTTTCCCCGAGGGAGAAGTGTCAGGGATGAGACGAACGTTTGACCATGAGAGGAGCTAAAGTCCCGAGTAGGCTTACCCAAATGCCTCAAAATTTTGAGACTTTTGGTCCTCGTGTGAGTTCGTCTTTTTGCTCACACTCACTAAACTATTCACCAAATGTGCAAAATGAGGCTGAATCCACGCCTAGAACATGGATAGATACATGGCCMCCTTTTAAAAAAAAAAAAAAAAAAAAAAATTCGGCCTTGAGATATCATCATTGAGCTGACCGGCCCAGGCAATTCAGAAATATTTGGGTTTACTCATCATTCAAGTTCCATCATCTGGATTCGAACTCGGGTTTGTATTTCAACAGTTCATGGGTGTACCCACTGAGCTAGGCTCTTGAGGCATTTGTGTAGCAGACCTCTCCAATGTGACCCAAAAAATGCCTCAGATTTTGGGATTTAAGGTCATTAGGTCCCTGTGTGACCTCAAATCCGAAAAAAGTTGCTGTCATTTGAGTCAGGGCATACTCACACTGTGACCTCAAATCCGAAAAAAATTGCAGATTTGCGGATTTGGGCAGGGCGGATTTGAGGTCTTGGGCATGGTTCGGGTAGCACTACTGTTAGTACTGTACCTTTTCAGATGGGACAAGGCCCTGGCTGTCTGGAGCAATGGCGATTTGGGCATGGTTCGGGTAGCACTACTGTACCTTTTCAGATGGGACAAGGCCTTGGCTGTCTGGAGCAATGGAGATCTGGTACTTTGCTGGTCACACGGCGCCATTCACAAATTGCATCCACAAGTTGTGCAAGAACTCTCTCGTGAACGTATTTTCACCAATTCTCGAATATCATGCTAAAAAATAAATAGGGCAAACTCCCTTGCCCTGCAGCTACACAGGCCGCTGACAAATGGGCACACAAATGGTACTTTTTTTTTTTCTTTTTTTTAAAGCTGCGCTGCACTTCACTGCAGTGAAATACAGAGGCAACACTGGAGGGGTCGAGTAAGCAAGCTTACCCGTATGACCCCTACATGGCCCAGAAAAATGAATTTAATATCGTGTGGTCTGATGGACCACGGAGCAGATATTAAACTGATCAGAACAGAAACTACACTTGATCTTAGCCAAAAGGCCGAGAAAGGTCTAAATGGTACGGTTAGGACTTTGGCAAATCTGTGTGACAGGTCGTGCACCTTTTTTGTGGGGAACTTGGGAATATAGTTCCCAGTGTGAGGGCATACTCACACGGGGACCCCAAATCCGCAAAATATGTGGATTTGGGAAGGGCCGATTTGAAAGTTTTGGGCATGGTTCACGTCACACTACTGTACCTTTTCAGATGGGACAAGGTCACGGCCGTCTGGAGATATGGGGATTTGGTACTTGGCTGGTCACATGGCGCCATCCAGAAATTGTGCAAAAAATTTTGTGAACGAATTTTTGCCAATTTTTGAAGAAAATGCGAAAAAAAAAAAGGGTATTTGCGGTCACCTCCAGAGGTGACCACAAAATCCCTTGCCCCGTGTCTTCCCAGGCCGCTGACAAATGGGCACATCAATAGTACATTTGCAAATTTGGGAGATCCGTGTGACCGGCCTTTTCCCCTTTTTTTTGGGATTTTGGGAATATAGGTGCCCGTGTGAGTATTCCCTGAGTGGCGACCTTGTCCCACTTGCACCGTTTAGTCAAGGCAGCTCAACGGTGCAACATCTGAAAATATTCGTTCTAATTCGATTTCAAATGAGAAATGCATTTATAAATGGCACGGATACAATTGTTCTGGTTTTTCTTTTTTCGCAATTGGAGTGGCATACGGGCACTTCCACTGCAGAAAATGAAGAGTTGCCAGAATCCCATACAAAAATGGCAAACGGAAGGAGGCTCTTTCAGTTTCTTTCGAAAAACGCCTTTTGGGGGAACAAGAGGTTGTTGAATTAGCTGTCTCGAAAAAAGGAGACAGCTAGCTCAAGGGAAAGTGGCGAGCGTAGGGGGAGTAGTATTAGAGAGAACGGATTTACTTCTGCTTTTTGTTGTAAGAAAAAGCAAAGATAGTCTCTATTGCCTTTTTTATTAAAAACCGACCGCTAGATGACTTGGACGATGTGCATCTCCATTGTCCCCTACAGTCACACAGCGTTGAAAACCCAACGTTGACCTAGCTCAACGGAGCTAGTGGGACAATGTCCCGGCACTAGTCGTCCTGTTTTTTATTTTCCTTTTCCCCATTTTTTCCATTTTTTTTTGGTTTTTTCTATTTTCCGTTTGCGTGTTTTGATTGTGTTGTCCCTTCCCCGAGATCTGGGGAAGGAAATTCGTCAGTTGGCGGCGTAAACACAAAGCTGGTGTGATGCGCACTTCTTTTTCTTTCGGAGTTTGAAAACGACTCATTCCCGCACCCGAAATGCCTCGAAGAAAGGGAGGGGACCCGAGAGGAGGCACAACGACTGGCCCATCGAAGAAGCTCGGTCCTGGTGCTACCGGCTGACCCCTGGCCGGTATCGCCCACCTTCTGTACCAGGTATCGCACCTGCTGCTGGCTGCAGCTCCCGCATGTTCCCTCATTGGAGGCTCGAGGAAAATAAAACTTAAAAAAAATAAAAATGAAATCCTACCCTAGAAGAACGAGCAGCCTTTCTTGTATGAAAAAAAAAAAAAAACAGATCATAGCCCAAAACAGAAAAAGAAAAAGAAAATCCCCATCAACTGCCCCAGTTTCCCCTGACTGCGTTCCCGCGTTTCGTATTATGGATACTCGTTCCGTCCGTTCTCGTTCGGACTTTCTCTCTCTCTGTATCTCTCTCTCTCTCTCTCTCTCTCTCTCTCTCNCACACACACACACACACACACACACACACACACACACACACACACACACACACACACACACACACACACACACACGCGGACAGAGACCGTGCCGCTCTGTAGCGGCGCAGATGTATGTGCGTGGGGAGTGCCGGCCCTGCGCTAAGGGTGTTGTGCTTTGATCACAGTCAGCGTGATGTGGATGCAAGGGACATCTGTTGGGTCTCAGATTCCAAGATGCTTTTGCAGCGCTTCGTCGTTAGCTGCGGCCGTTTTTCGCTCCTTTTCCCGTCGCCATCTTCCGTTCTGATGCAGTATGTCCTCCGTCGGATTTGATGGCAAATCTCGACGCCCTGATCCTGTCCCCGCGCGACGCGGTTCCATTTTCGACCCTGGTTTGCAATCGTTCCCCCCAAACTCTCTCACGATGATTGCCATTTGCTCTCCTCTCTCTCTTCGGATTGCCGCAGTTCTGTGGTTTGCGGCAACCTCCACCATGCCGTGTGTCTCTTCTGCACCTCCCTCAAGCACGTGCTATGGAAGCCATGAAACCTCTTCCGAGTCGAAGAGTCGTGGGCCTCCGGCGCAAGCCAACTGCCACAGCAAGCCGGTCAACTGCAAAGACCGAGAGCTGCAGAAACTCCTCCCCCAAGGGAGGGAACTGCCTGAGTCCGTTGCCGAGTGGTACTCGCGCGTCCTTGAGCCATCGCATGAAGAGTCGCTCAACTTGCAAGGGCGACGGCGCACTAAGTCGATCACACCGTCGCAGCGAAGCACAGGTGCGATCAACTCCCATGAGATTGCGGCGCAGCGAAGCGAAGGTGTTTCTGCTCCTCCGTCAAGCACGCGGGGTGGAAGGCCCGCAGTGTCGTCGTCGGCAGTTTCGAGGAGTCGTGAGCGTCGGGCGCAAGGCGGCAAAATCTCGTCGGCAGTTTCGCGGAGTGGTAAGCATTGGGCTCGGATGAAGCTAACGGAGAGTGAGGAAAAGGATATCCTCAGGCTGGCCGAAAGCAAGGAATTGCCCAAGTCCATTGCGCGGCGGTTCTTGCGAGTCCTCCAGACATCGGTGAGGCTCACTGAGAGCGAGGTAAAGCATATCCTCAGTCTGGCACAGAACAAGGGTTTGCCCGAGTCCATTGTGCCGTTATTCTTGCGAGTCCTCGAGACATTGGCGAGCGACTCTGTCGAGATGGACGAACGAAGCCCCGAGTTTCGAACGGGGAGGCGAGCCTCCAGTGGGGTGGACTTTACGGACAAGGCTATTCAGGAAACCGCCACCGAATGTGGAGAGCCGCACGGTCGCGTCCTTGAGGATATGGGCGACACCGGTCCGTTCCGGTACTTAGACAGGAACGTGCTGACATTTCGAGGCAATTTGCTCTTCCCTTCCTCGCAGAGTAATTACCCGTACGGAGGCATCCATGGCGTGCAACTGTCGAGTGTGGACGAATCGATTTACTTCCTGTCGTACGGGGGAGTGTGGAGCTTGCCTACCGGCTCAAGCTCGTACGGTGTTGGCGCGGTCAGACGGGTTTATGGCTCCTTAGGCGATGATCGAGGTTTCACGATCGTGGATATGGACAGGTACTGGTACGGGGCCCAAGGGAGATTTCTTCTGGTCGCCGAAGCCGCTCCTGACAGCCTGAAAACTGTTCGTTTAGACTCATATGAATCGCCTTTCGGTTTCCGTCCTATGGGAGGCTTCCACTCTCACATTCTTAGCCTTGCCCCTGATCCTTCACGGCCTTAGGTTTACTTTTCAACGGATCATGGGATCTACAAGATGCATCTCCCGACTTCCGGATTTGGCTCAATAGTCCCTCTCATCGATGAAGCGTCGGCGATAGGATCAGTTCAAGCCAGCATTTCCGGGGACGCGGCTTTCAATGCCGTTCGCCTGAGCCAGCATGCCTTCTCCGTTGACGGCCAGTTCATGTACGTTGCGGACGAACGCGGCTACGCCGTCTACCGCGTTTGGATTGCGAGCGGTGAGGTGGAGAATATCGGTAGTGGTTATGTTGATGTGGACATGAAGCGCCCCTATGGATTAGCCTTGACATCGGACGGTTGTAATCTGTTCGTGTCAGAGTGGTCGACCGGGAGGATCACGCTAATCACCTTCGAAAGCAATGGTGGCCTCGTGAAGAGCATCCGAACACTCGCAGGTAGGAGCAGCGGTCGCTATACGGAAGCGTCCGTGGACCTTTTCGGTTTGGCGATCTCACCAGATGACTCGTATCTATACGTCGGAGCGTACGAGGCGGTCCTCAAGTTCGAGATCGACACTTGGGGCTTGCCCTCCTGTTCTCCTATCTCATCTTCGCCTCCATCCGTTCCTCCTTCGAGCAGACCCATCATTTCGTTTACGCCGCCACCACCCTCCACCTCTACGCCGCCACCGCACTTCATCTCAAATTCGTCCTCTGCTCCTATCAGCAGCTCCAGTCCCCGCGCTGCTAAGAAGCAAACCGATCTCACACCCGTTGTCATCGCTCTCGGCGTTGTTTTGCCCGTCGTAGGAGCCGCGCTCGGTGTATTACTGGTCTGGTGTCTGTGCGGCATACAGCGGCGGCGGCGAGAGGCAGAGTCACGAGCAATCGATAGACCCGTGCCGTCCATCGATACCACAGATGTCCGGGCACGATCGCAGCAGATCGAGCCAGTGGCTTTCACAAACAATCCGACGGGTACGCAGAACTGGTGGCAAAGACCAGCCGGAGCAGGGACGTTGCCCAATGATCGTCTTGACGTTGTTGCTGCGTAGAGTTCGCTTTCCTTTTTCCTCAAAAACGGCCCGGGTGCAGAATAAGACACCTCAATCAGGCTCCCATCGCGGATCATCGTGATGGAGACGGTTTGGACAGGGGGATGAATAAACTGGGAGGCGTGATGTCATCCGTCAATGAAGTGGATGTTAAACCACCAGTACTTGGCGCAGCTATCGGCGGGGCGGAAAAAAATAGAGTAGAAACGTTTCTAGTCGGATGAATTTGGGCGCTCCTGTATTGGCCCGTAAGTTTCTTAATATCGTGGCTTGTATACGGGCAGGACTTTTCTGGCTWAGGGTTCAAAAGTCCGCGTTTTGAATATGAAAGGTACGCATTATGCGGTTCGGTGAAATGGTCTCGAGGAGAGGTGGATGGACGGCTGATTCACATGGTCGAGCAGTCGTAAGATCACGTGTTCTTATAGAGTACGCACATTTTAAAGCGTCGTATCCTGGTTTTCGACTCTGAACAGTGTCACAAGGGAGTGATGTAGGACTTCGGTCCGTAAACGTACGAAATTCAACCCAGATTGTGTGTGTGTGTGTGTGTGTGTGTGAGAGAGAGAGAGAGAGAGAGAGAGAGAGAGAGAG